AATGAGATTAAATGTTATGTTCCTCATGTAAGTAAGCTAGGATTGTTTTTGGTTAAATATGTCACACAGGCCTACTCAAATACTGACTGTGTATGTACAATGGGTTACGTTTTAGTGGGCTATTCTTCTCTACTGATCTGATTTTTCTTACGCTTGCAAACAAGGCCTGATTATTTTAGCTTTATGTGTTTTAATATTCTGTTAAAATTAGTTCTTTAAAACAATTATTATTCTCCTGTTTATACTTTCAAATCAACTTTAAAATTATTTGGTCAATTTTAGGAAAAAATTTCATTAGAATTTGAATTAGAATTTTAACAAATACACTAAACATTTTGAGAGAAAAACCTCATATTTTATAAAAATTAGTCTTCGCATTTAGGAATATATCAGGTCTCTTCTTGATATGGTTAGGCTTTGTGTCTCCACCCAATCGCATCTTGAATTGTTATCCCCATCATCCCCACGTGTCAAGAGAGAGACCAGGTGGAGGTAATTGAATCATGGGGGCAGTTTCCCCCATGTGGGTCTCATTATAGTAAGATCTCACGAGATTTGATGGTTTTATAAGGGGCTCTTCCCCCTTCGCTCGGCACTTTTTCTTCCTGCGGCCTTGTGAAGAAGGTGCTTTGCTTTCCCTTTGCCTTCCACCATGATTGTAAGTTTCCTGAGGACTTGTCCAGCCATGCTGAACTGTGAGTCAATTAAACCTCTTTCCTTTATAAATTACCCTGTGTCGGTAGGTCTTTATAGCAGTATGAAAATAAACTAATATGCCTCTTTTATTCATTTTTTATATCTCTCAGTAAAGTATTGCACTTATCACATAACACATCATTTCTTGTGATAATTTAAATTTTACTTTGTGATTATAAACGAGATCTTTTTAGTTTACTTTGTTCTATTGCCTTGTTTGGTGTGTAAGAAAATGTTTTGTCTGTTATAGCAACTGCTAATGAATTCAAACAGCTTTTCACTTGATTTATTTTGGTTTTTATGTTCTAAAACCAAGTCACCTATAATCATATTTTATTTCTTTTATGTTTCTAATTTCATGTTTTATGTCTCAACTTTTTGAAATGATATAAAATAAATAACATGTATATTCATTAGCCAGGGCCTGGCATATAATAAGAACTTAATGAATGTCAGATTGTTATTAATGATATCAATATTAAATGACAGTAATTTTATGTATCTGTATTTTAATCATATTTTAATGAGAATTATTTATTTTGTCACCGTTAAGTAAAATGTTGGCTGATGATTTGAATCATGTATCTTACTTTAAGAAGTTTAGAAGATATATCCACGTTTGAGATGATTACTTTTTGTAATTGATTTGAATTTAAGTCTACTGATATTCTATATTAGTAGGTTTTCTAATTTGGGGCTGTTCCTGGATTCCTATAATAAACATAATTTGATTAGAAGTAAAAGATTAACTTTTACTATATTATTGAGTTATTTGCTGGCATTTTATTTAAGTTTCTAATTCCTTTATTGACATTTCAGTTCTATGTTTTTTCCTTGTATTTCTGTTAAGTACGTGAAAATTAGGGTATGTTTCTTAGAATGACCTGGATTACCTTTAATCATTTCCTGTTTTCTCACAGAACATATAATGTGAGAAAGATCTGTTCCTTGAAAGTCTGAAGGAATTTGAAGGCGTTTACTAGTAAATCTATGATGTCACTAAGTTCCTTTTCTAGGGGCATGGATGTAACCTTTGGATAACTTTCTCAATTTATTTTAATTTTTAACATGTTGTGCTAATTTTGATATATTTTAGTTTACATAAAGCATTAAATGTGTTGGTGTTTTGAAATTTATTAACATACAACCATGTTGAACTCTGAAGTCTTCTCTATTTGTTGCGTTTCATTTCTCACTTAAAAAAATTGTAACATTTTACCTTTTTCTCTTCATTAGATTTTTAGTTGTTTGTGTTCTCTGACCTTTTTGCCCTTCTTTTTTTTTCTGTATCATGGTTTTTATAAAATTGTTTTTGGATAAATTTATTTTTGGAATGATTTTCTGTGACTATGTTGAAACACTTCAAAACAATAAATCAAGATTTTTCTCCCCATTTATTAACATCCTATTCACTAGTTTTAGAATCTCCCCAAATATCCAGGAGCATTGGTTATTTTGGAATAAAATCAACTTATTCCTATTAGTATTGCCTGTATTTTTCAGAACTGACAATTTCAGCATATGCCCACAAATGTAACCCAATCAAATCTTTATGGCACTATTAGTCTGTAATTCTCTAGTTCTTATGATTAATGTGTAGGGCTAGACCTCATAAAACTATATTTTAATTCATCTTGAGACACCTTCCTTAACAAGCATTTGGTATGCCTTAAGATATCTTTTCTAATAAGCATGTGCGTTTAGATGCTATTCTCATTCTTTAAAATGCAATGAGTGCAGCAGTTAATTAACTTATTATAATGCCATAAATCCCAGCTCTAGCCATGACCAGTGACTCCTCCCCCCACCTTTACCAAGAACATTTTCATTTATGATGAATTATCCCCTGGGTACTCAATGCAGAGGTGGGTGACCATGCAGAACTCAGGGTCAGACACAATAACACGATCCATACTGCTGGGTAATGACAAGGCTTCTACTCCTACCACTTACCTTCCTGTGCCTGGGCGCCTTTATGCTTCACTGAAATCAGCAGACATTGATGACAGAATGAGGGAGTTTCTCTCCTCCAGATTTCAATTCTCTGGAAAGTAATATTGAGGATGATTTGTATGGGTAGATATATATGGGGTTAGATCTCTGTCTCCTCTGGTAATTAAACTGCTCGTTTGAATACAAACAGGTCTAGTAACTTTTACAGTTTCTTTCTTTCTTTTCTTTTTTTTTTTTTTTAAGATGTTTTTTACATAGAGTGAATACAATTATGAGCTTTTCTGGGTGCTAATTCATTTTAAATTTCCTTCTTAACCTTGCTCCTGTAGGATTTTAAATATTTACTTTTGCTGAACGATGGATACTGATAGGAGTTTAGACTTCTATAGATATTCTTTCCCTGTGACTCTGTTTTAAAACTTGTCCATTTTATAACGTGTTTCATTTGATTCATGTTCAATAACCTGAATTGTTGAGGGTACCCATTTTTTACGGGTTGAGTTGTATTCCCCTAAAAGGATATGTTGAAGTCCAACTTTCAGTACCTCAGGATGTAAACTTATTTGGAAACAGGGTTGTTGAAAACGTAGTTAGTTAAGGTAAGCTTATGATGTGGTTCAGTACTAACTGAACGACTTCACCAGTTCTTGGTCGTGTGACCTTGGGTAAGTTACTGCACCTCTCTGAACATCAGTTCCTTTTCCATAAAATTAAGATATTGCCTACACTTTGAAGTAAAGAGGTAATGTTTGCAATATGCTTAATAGAATGCAGTCACTCAATTATCAAGACCTTATTGTTTCAAATATAAATAAAAATGTAAATTAGTTGTCCCCCCCCAAAAAAAATATCTTCTTCTACCACAAAATAACCCTTATTTAGAATTTTAACACATTATAAAATAAATATATGTGATGAGTTGGGCAGATTTTATTACTATCCTCATTTTAAAGATGAGATAAGTAAGGCTCTTGGTAATAGAACAAGTAATTTACTCAAAGTCACAACATTAAATGATGACCCAGGATTCTAATGTTTGATTTCCAAGCTCAAGCTTTCCAATTTCATTCTGCCTAATATCAGAGAATGCTTAAAGCAGGAGGGCCCTTTGAGAGCATTACTTTTGAGCACCAAATATAAATGACTTATTAATTGTCATACCTCATGTCTTTATTAAGAATTTAATATATTTCACCAGAATTATTATTTCTGAATTCTCTGATTTATTATTTGTCTAAACCAATTGTATAACTTCCTTCTAAAATTCGTTAGTAGAAAATTAATAATACAAATATTTATTGAGCACCTACTGTGTTCCCAACACTATTCTAGTCACTGAGGATATAGTAGTGAACTAAAAATGCCTTTTCATTGTATAAATATTATTAGCAATAATAAAACAAGTGTTATACATACTTATTACATGTACATTTTAAAATAAAATGAAAGTATTCTCTAAATATTTTGCTTTCTTTTCTGTTTCTTTCTGGGTGAGAATTGTCTACATTCATTTTCCTAGCCTATAAATCACATACTTTAAATTGGAGAAATAGGCCAGGAACAGTGGTGCACGCCTGTAATCCCAGCACTTTGGGATGCCGAAGTGGGTGGATCACCTGAGGTCGGGAGCTTATGAACAGCCTGGCCTACATGGCAATATCCCATCTCTACTAAAATATACAAAAATTAACTGGGTGTGTGGTGGGCGCCTGTAATCCAGGTTACTTGGGAGGCTGAGGCACAAGAATTGCCTGAACCCTGGAGGCAGAGGTTGCAGTGAGCTGAGATCGTGCCACTGTACTCCAGCCTGGGCAACAGAGTGAGACTCCATCTCAAACAAACAAACAAAAAAAATGGAGAAGTATATATTTATATGTTCTCTCTTGCCACAATTTGCATTTCAGCTGTGTCATCAGAACTACTTGGGTTCCTTCTCTTACCTGTAAGCTGTAATCAGGATAGACCCAGTTTATGACTAGAATTTACTTTTATCTTTGTGAAGACTTTAGTTGGCCCCTGAAGAGTTGACACATCTGATCTCTTCACTTTCTGACTGTGGTCTACAGCTATTGCAGTTTTATACAACCATTTTTTGGGCTGTGAAAGTCTCTTTCCCACCACAACCGCTCTGCTAAGTTAGGTCCTTATTTAGACTGACTTTTGCTTTCCTTCATGTGTCTTTGCAATGCCTTGTGGCCTGTAACGACTACTTTTTCACATTTAATACTCTTACCAGGTTTCAACTGGACCTGTAGTTCCATAATCACAATTATTATTCAGCATGTTGAATACTATTTTCCTGCCAAGCTTCTTGCAGTACCATTCAGACATTTAGGAACAATGAAGTATATTGAGCCCAAGTGTTCCTAACTAGGGTGAAGATGACCATGAAGATAGATCTAGACATTTATGACCTAACAGAGAAAGAGAGAATCAGAGACACAGAAACAAAGAGAAAGATGAAGTAAATCTTATTTGGTAAGTAAACTTACCTATAAAATTGACTTCCTTCCAAAAAGTCACTGTTTTTCTGATTTTAAAAAATAATACATCTACAATGTAAAAAATAGGCAGTAAAATGTAAAAAATAGTACATAGAATAAAAATTTCCCCCAATCATGCTATCCAGAAATAGCCATTGCTAACATTTTGGTGTATATCCTTCCAGATTCTTTTCTATACATATGTCACTTAAAACAGAAAAAAACAGAGATCATGCTCGCATATTTTGTAACCTTCTTTTCTCCCTCAATATAGTGTGGACATGCTTTCCATAACGATAAATAAAGATCATCATTGTTTTTAGTGGTTAAATTTTATATATGGACCATCATTCATTTAACTTTACCCCTTTAATGGTCATTTATATTTAGTTTTAAATATTATAATAAATTTTGTTTAAACATTTCTAATAAATATATTTACACACTTAACTGTTTAATCTTAAGGAGAAATGCTTGAAAGTATGATACCTGTGTCTAAAGAACCCATCTCTGCTCATCTCCCTTTTTTATAAGATTAAGTCCAAATTTCTTGGCATGTATACAAGATCTTTCAAAATCTAGTCTTAGGCTATTAGTCTTCTGGATTTATATCATTGCTTCAAAACATACATAACACTGATTCAGAATTTTTCAAAAGCTAATATACTTCTACATCTTTATTTTTATTTCTTGCTGTTCTATCTGGAATGCTTGCCTCCACATTTTCCTGTTCTATTTAATTTCTATTTATCCTTTAATATCCAGCTCAAACGTTCTTCTCTGTATCATCTTCTAATTCTTCATAAGTAAAATTAATTTCTCTTTCATCTGTGCTCCTACATATTAATGAGTTGTTGGATTGCAGTGTTTCTCAAAGGTCTTTCTTTCCCTCTATCAGTTGTCAGTCATGAAATCCTTAGTAAGCATCTATTAAGTGCTAGGCCTTGTGTTAGATGAGCAAAACAGACCCAACTAACTTATCTTATGCAGCTTATATTGTTCTATATTTTAGAAATATGTTCATTGCAAAAGTTTTTTGTTCATGTTACGAAAAATGGAAGCAACTGTATGTTCAACAGAGAATTTGTTAACTAAATTATTATCCATTCTCATAACATGATATCATTTTTAGTCTCTATCACTGGGCAGCATGAACAACAGAGGTTGTCATGACTACTAGTTGGGCCAGGGTTAAAATTACAAATAAATAGCTTTCTCTCACCAGTCAATAATGATAAATCATTAGTGGCTGATTGGAGTGTGTGTTGAGAATGATTAGGAAGTGCGGTCTGTTTAGTGGTCTAGCTTGGGACTGGGAGTATTTGCCGTATCTGGGCTTGAAGGATGCATTTTCAGCACTTGCTTAGGGTTTGGGAACTTAAGAAGAAATACAAAGACTGGGTGAAGAGAGAAAATTGGGTTAGGTGAAGGACTAGAGAAAAAACCTAAAGGCCTTGAATGTTGTGCAAAGCACCCTGAATTCTTCCATGGTTGGGGAGAAGGCAGTAGGTAAAACCTGTCTTAAATATCTTCTTCTCTCTTCTTTATGGGCCATCGTCTCTCAGCATCTTCCTAAACACTATCCATTAGGTTTAGGAGCCTAAAGATTTTACGCTCTTCAGTTGCCAATTTTCTTCCACCATGTTGCCCTGCTAGAAAGTATCCTATCTCATATTCTTAACTCTTCTCTCCTGGCCAAACATTGCTGGCCTTTCATTCTGTTAGGTACTAATAATCTAAGTTAAATAGAGGTATCCACGTGGGGCTGGGATGCATAATAATTGGCATTTTTTAGATATGATGAACACTGTTGTTAAGGGTATTCCTAAATCTACAAACATTTATGGTTATTTCTTTAGGATGCCTGTAGATAGGATGATTATAGATATAGTCAGGATGACTCAGTACCCTCTTTCATCTTGCCATAGAAGTTTCTTTTGCCCACAGTGTAAATTGTTGGTGGTAAGAACTGCAGACACTCATGAGGAGGGGGCCTTTTTAGATTGGCTTAAAAAACTAAATAGGAAGAAACCTCTCCAATACAACCCTTAAGTCAAAAGAAATAGTGAAATAATTGGCGTGGGTGGGAATTACTCTTTTACTCTGAGGTGGGAAAAGGAACTATGAAACAGGAGGGGATATAAAGTATTTTTAATATGGAAATACATCTTATTAAACCAGTATATTTAATCATTTAAATTAAATCATACTGTGCTATAATGGCATGGTAACTACTTTGTTCTTTGGAGAAATACTCACTGTTGATTCAAGGTTATTATAAAAGTGTAGGAAGCTCATGACTGTTTTTGAAATTCCTTGTCATATATTAGCATAAAACAATAATTACCAAATTATGTGATAGTCTCAGGAACCACTCTTAAGAGCCTTGGAATCAAAATAGCTCCATCAGTATCAATAGATTCGATGTGTGGCTTAGTTTTAATTGCACTTAGGAGGAGAACCTATCTGTTTTTAACATTTGAAAGCAAGTCTAAATTGTGTCCAGTGGGGGCACTTAGAGTAGCAGGCTTTGGCACCTGCCTCAGGTAAGAAAAGTTTTTGTTTATTTCATTAGCGCTTGATGCTTTGACAGACTATAGCTTTCCACTTACTGCATGAAGAGCTGCCAGCCATTCCTGCTGGGATAAGCTAGTATGGGACTAGCAATGAACTTCTGAAAGAAGTTATTATGCCTTATATGGTTGATCTCCCATGCAAATAAAAGAAGCATCTCATACTGTAGCTAAATGGAATTGGTATTTCATCCAATGTAAATGTATGCCAGCGTGCTTTCTGGCTTTTATCAACCACTGCATCTCTCTCCAAAGCAGATTCCAAGTTCATCTGTCTATAGGGCAGCTGCAAGTCAGGGATGGAATGATGAAGACTCACAGATCTGTGTAGAATAAAAAGGGATCAATCAGATCAGCATGTACTTACCAATAATGCCTAAAGCATTTGTTATAATGCAGATTCCAGAGATGCAACGCCTTAAAGATTCAGCAGGTCTGAGTAGCTAATATTTATTGTGCTATTTTTTAAACACGTTAAGCACGCTCTGCCTCTGGGCTTTTGCACTTGCTGTTTCCTCTGCACAAACCACTTTTCCTCCAGATATCTTTTTGACTCACTCTTTTGTCTCCATCAGGCCTGCACTAAAATGTCACCTTCTCGGTTAGGCTTCCTTTCATTATATTAAAAATAACAACTTCAGAATTCCCTGTATTCCTACCATCTTAATTTCTTTTCCATTGCTCCTAAGTCATATAGTATCAATTTTATATTACATATACTTATTTATCTAGAGTCTGAAATGAAACTCAAGAAGATGGAAATTTTTGTCAATTGTGCTAAATCTCTAGTGCCTAAATAATGTCTAAGCTACGGTGGGTACTTGGTAAGCCTCTGTCCATTGAATGAAAATGACTGACATTTGTTGAGCACTTCTTAGTTACTAGGTACTGTTCTAAGGGCTTTACATAAAATAGTTAATTTAATTCCTTCAAGAGGTCTAGGAAGTCAGAATTATGATTATGTCTATACCATTACAGATAAGAAAACTGAAGCTAAATATTGTACCAGGTCATCCAGGTGGTACATGGTTGAGGCAGAATTTGAATCTGGGTAATCTGATTACAGATCTCATCCCTCTGACCATATGCTCTAGTGACATAGATGATGTCTTTAATATTTTCTCTGTGGAAAATCCAAAGGCAGAGTTCTTATGTTTGTTTCGTGTGGGTGACATTTGGAAAAGGCTAAAGGCAAAACACTAAAGCAAAGGTTAGCCTAGTAAATACTACAAGATTTCCCCCCTTGCATTCTGGCCTAGGGTAATCTTCTCCTTAATGGTCCAGTGTTATTTTTAAAGAGCTTGAATTTTTAGAATAAAGCCAATCTGACTTTTGTAGCTATCGGGTTGGCCAGGCTCTAGGTGGGAATAGGAATGTTATGGGAGAGGTGGGGTGGCGTGGCTTGGCAGGGTCTCTGTCACTCATTCTCAAACCAGACTCATCCAAAATCTCATGGATAATAGGGTGGTGCCATCCTTTTGAAGTTTTTGGAGTAAGAATGGATCACTGGCTCATATAACTGTACTGGCTGATTTGGCGAATCTGACCAGCTACGTGGGTGTCAGCCTGGTCTTTTTTCACCCCAGGTATGTTCTTCCTAAAGTACAGCATTTAGTCAAAGAGAACTTTGGTTACTTCTGCCTTTCAACTCTTATAAATATTTTATTTGAGTTCTGACAAGGTCATTATGATGACCTCTAGGGTCCTTGAAAAGTCAAATTCTTACTGGAATCAGGTGTGCTGGGAGAAATTTGTTGAGTGTTGATGATCATCTTTCCAAATCTCTGTCACAAGTGAACGAAAATATACTAACTTCCCACTCTTAGAAGAATATATGTTATCTGTGTATATTTATTGATTGATACTTAAGTATGGTCCTTGACCCATATTGTTTTCAATCATTAAGGAAGCTATTATTTGGTTATTAAAGAATGAAATCTATTTTTAAAATTTGTTACCCTTCTTAAATTCATTCAGAGGCCACAAGGCTGTTTTGACTTAATTATGATTGAAAATGAACAGATGTGAATGACCTACTCTAGACTATCCTATAGTAAAGGAAGGAAAAGGGTCAAGATTTTTAAATCCCTGACTCGGAGTCCGATATTTCAGCCTCAAATACCTAACTAATATAAAATTTCTGACAACCACCTAACACAAACAGAAAGAAGCCTATGGAAACCTCATCTTCCACTGAGCAATATCACATTTGTAAAGATAATATAATACAAAATTTTAATGCTCTGTGGATCATTATCTGGCAACAGACCAACAGCAGAGCATAAAACATTAACAACTAAAAGCGGGTTCTGAGTCCTTGGAGTTTCTAATTGTTGTTCATTATAAAAAGCCACCAAAATCATCTTGAGCTGATTCATGGAGAATTAAATAGATTTGGTTTAATAAAAGTCTTCAGGTCTCTGAATAAATTATGAATGCATCTTGACTTTAGAAGGATACATTGGCATTAGGAAATGGTAATGAACAGGCATTCGAGGTGGGGGGACCCTTCTGCCGATCATCCCATTTGAAACCGATTAACAGCTGATGAAATGAAAGTGTTTTCATGGATAGATGTGCAACAAGTCATGAGTTGTGGACTTTAATAATATATTTTCTTCACAAGCAATAACACAGCAATTAGGAGATGCTCATTGAGGTAGAAATAATGGTAACTGCTGTGCAGATTAGGTTTGCTGAAGGGAGCTCTCAGACATACACTAAAACAACATATTCTAGGTTCTTGTTGGTGTGTAATTTCTAGTTTATTTACTTATCATCTCAGTTAAAGAGGACTCTTGGCAGTAATGAGGCTACATAGAATAGTTTAAGATGTTACAAATTATATAAAAGATAAATCTAATGATTACCTATTCTAATGACAGTGCAATCTTGTCTTTCCTCGTGGGGAAATTGTATGGTGGTGAGATGCTCATAGCTGGGGAGACTGCTGTGGTTAAAATGTATTCATTATTTTTCTGCCTGCTTTGCTTCTGCATGGCTGTTCATGAAAGCTGGGTAATTCACTCGAGCAGGAACCACTTACCACAAACCTTTCACTGGTGCTGCAGTGCCTGTAAGCAACCTGGTAAATATATAAAAATAATACGCTGGAAAACAGGATGGAAAATTTGTCAGCAACAGGAGAATGACCTACAATGGTGTTACCAAAATAAGGGAAAGAGGGGTCGGGGGAAATAGCATATTGCCTCCTCATTTCTATTTACTATAATTGCCTTGAAAGTAAATACTCATGAAAGACATATAATGAAACTTCAGAGCAGACCGTATTTCCGAGGACGTCTGCATTCACTGGCAGGAGCAAGCTGGAGGAAACACGGAAGACTTGAGGAGAATTTTGAGATTCACGGCTTGCTTGAGGACTAACTCCAAGTGGCAGAAGAAATAAAGATCATTTTTTTCTTTTTCTTAATTGTGTCTTGTTCCAGATCAAATGGATTTTTTCCCCATGAGAATCTCCCTTTCCACACTTTCCCAGCTAAATGCAGAAAAGCTTAGGAAAGTAAATAATAATAATAAACCTTCCCACTTAATGTGGGAAGATAGTTGGGAGAAATCTCTATGTGACAAATAAGTGACTTGAAAGAAAGATGGAGTCAAACTTCTGGTGTAAGGTCTAGTATTTATTATTTGGTGACATTCAGTTTATGTGGTCTTATGTTTTTTATTTTTAGTTTTTAATTCTCTGATTTAAACACTGCTCCTCAACATGCCGAATCATTTGAAATTGGTGTTTAGGATATGCCTCTAATTCTGTTAATTAGTAGCAGCATATTTGACGGTGTAGCTCGTATTGAAAGCTGTTCCTTTCATACCCTTAAGGTAGAAAATGCTTTCTCATTATTCAGGAGAATAGCAGAGGTGTGGATGGCAACATCCACTCCAAAATTCCAATCCCATGGCAGGCGTTGTTAATTGGCATTGCGGCCGCTTTCTTTGGAGCCTGGAGGTGGCCTCTGAAGCTTTGCTTTCAGAAGAAGCACCTGAGTCAGCTATTGTGAGAATAGAGAGGTGAGATGAAACCCATTTGCCTCTTCCTGCTGTAAGGTTACTCTAAGAGGGATCAGTGTGATGTCCTGAGCTCTAAACTCTGTTCTTGGTTCCATATTCCTTTTCATTTCTGGCTACTTTCTTTAGTTCAAGCAGGGGAACAGTTCCAGATTTTGAATAAAAAGATACAAGTTCTGCTTTTGTCTTAGGATAAATTAATTGCTGTTAAAACCTCCAAACCTCAGTGGCTTAATACAATTAAGGTTTATTCTCATGCAGGTCCTAGACCAATCCTGTATTGCTATGGGGCTCTGCTCTATGCCACTCTACACTGTCTTCCATCTAGAGGCTCTGAGTTTTCTCTAAGGCCTTAGAATCTTCCACTGGGTCCTCTGCCTATGCCCCAGAGGAAAAAAATTGCAAAAGAGATTTCAGGGAAATGTAGCTTGGTTGTGTGTCTAAAATAGGGATTGGCAAACCTTTTCTTTAAAGGGCCAGATGGGAAATATTTTAGGCTTTTCGGACAATACAGCCCCTGCTTCAATTCCTCAGCTCTGCTGTGGTAGCATGAAAGCAGTCCCTGACAATATGTAAATAAATGAGTGTGTCTGGGTTCTAACAAAACTTCATTCCCAACAAGAGGTGGCAAGCTGGATTTGGCCAGTGAGCCATGATTTGTGAACATCTGGTCCGGGAGGAAAAGTAAATCGATTTGGTCAGCATGTAGCAGAGTACAGTGATTCTACAAGCTGTGTGATATTGGGCAAGTGACTTATCCTCTCTGAACTTTTTTCTTATCAGTTAAACAAAAAGGCTATAACATCTTCCTTGATTTATCTCGGTATTGTTGTGAAGATCAAGTGAGATAATGGATCATTAGAACTTTGTAAACTATAAAATTATATATGCATGTATTCATAAATGTACAGAAATACCCATCAAAGACAGTTGCGTTGCAGCTCTGTTCTTCACATAGACAGAGGGCCACCCATAGATTGGAGCAAAACAAGGGGAAAAACACCATTATTAACATACTTAAGTAATATTGAAATTATTTCTGAAAATGCAATGGACTTAAACTAATCCAATTCTTGGTTTATTCTTTCCATGAAAATGTCAACTTGGATCTAACTGGAAGATTCTGGGCAGTTAGAAAAATAAATCAATGTTTGATTATACCAGTCAACACAAAAACTTTACTAGAGGACTTGTTACAGATACAACTGGAACTTCTTTGGAAAAGATCTTTGTTCTAATAATGAAACAAGTTTATCACTATATGCAAAGTTTGTTAGTTTGCCAGGGCTGTCACAAACAACAGAAATTTATTTCCTTATAGTTCTGGGGGCTAGAAGTCCAAGATGAAGGTGTTGGCATAGTTGGTTTCCTCTAAGGGCCTCTCTCCTTGGCTTACAGAGGGTATCTTCAATTGTTTTCACATTGTCTTCCCTTTGTGCCTGAGTCCTAATCTCCTCTTCTCATACAGACAATGGTCCTATTGAATGAAGGCCCACCTATATGCTCTCATTCAACCTAATTACCTCTCTAAAGGCCATATCTCCAAATATCACATTTTGGGCTACTGGGATTAAGGCTTCAACGTATGAATGGATGGGGTGTGGTCAGGCACAATTCAGTCCATAACACAAAATTTCTGCTTTTACTCTAAAGAGACAAAGATATCTCTTAGGACCCTGAACCAGTTTAATTGTTTTTGCCCTTACAGATCTGTCTTTCAAGTGGCTCCTTTCTCCCTAGCTACTACTGTCCTTTATTGCCTTTTTATCCTTTCTCCCCTTCATGTTATTAAAAATTCTTTCCTAAGTCATTTTGACACACAAAAATGGAGTTTGGATAAAGAGGGAAGAAAGAGAAGAACATTTGGTTCTCTGTCCCATTTTCACTTTTCTCTACAGTTTTACTTGTTGACCTTAGTAGTTTGAGTCTAGAGGGAACAGCTTTCAGGAAAAGGAAAGACAAAAATAGATATTAATTGGTGACAAAATAAAGCATTTGTATCTCACTACTATTATAGAGAAGAAGCTGTTCCGTCCGTCCGTGTGTGTGTGTGTGTGTGTGTGTGTGTGTGTTTCCTGCCTTAACCGTTTTATACCAATATGATGAGTGATACAATGAAAGTTCTAAAAGCAGCATTATACATATTAATTAATGATTGAAAAGCACTTTGAAAATGAAAAAGCATTTCTATGAGCAAATGCAAGGCCATATTATTATTGTCATACCAGTAAAAAAAAATCACCATTATGGGATGCTGATCCTTATCAAATCTGCTTGAAGCTCCATTTTCAATGTATTATAATCCTCAGATTTTACTGTTTAAAATTCTGTATTATCAAAAAGTTATTAGCTAGGCAGGGTGGTGCACACCTGTAGTCACAGCTACTCAAGAGGCTGGGTGGGAGGATTGCCTAAGACTAGGAGTTCGAGGCTGCAGTGAGTGAGCTGTAAACGTACTATTGCACTTCAGCCTGGGTGATGGAGAGGGAACCTGTCTCTAACAACAATAACAACAACAACAACAACAACAACAACAAAAGGTTATCAATAAAAACATTGAAAAGCCAAAGCACTCTAGAAAAAAACAGACTGTGTGGCCTATTAAATCTAGTTCCTATATTGTGACTCAGATGAATACAATATCATGCTATGATTAGCATTTGATAATTTGAGTTTTTAAAAATGCAAACCTTTTGCTTAAAAAACACCAATGACTTCCCATGCTTGTAAGATGAATCTATACTGCCTAACATGGCTTGTTTTCACCCTTTAACTCTGAATCATTCCACAAATACTCATTAAGCCTCTGTCATAGGCCAGGCATGGTTGATCATGCTGAAGATACAGCAGTGATCAAAACAGACAAAAACCCTTGCCCTGCTTGAACTTGGTAATACCAGATTGTGGGCCTTCGCTCACACTCTTAGCTCTGCCTGAGGCTTTCTCTCCATCTCCCCATTATTCTGCCTTTACATGATCAACTCTTATTCATCCTTCTAGTCTCGCTGTAGAGACCATATATTTAGGAAGTATAATGGTTAATTTAATGTGTCAATTTAGGTGGGCCACAGTGTTCACATATTTGGTCAAACCTGATTCTGGATGTTTCTATGAAAGTGTTTTTTTGGATGAAATTGACATTTAAATCGGTGGACTTTGAGTAAAGCAGATTGCCTTCCATGATGTGTGTAGCCCTCATTCAGTTGGTTGAAGGCCTGAATAGAGCAATGACCTCTCCTTATCAAGAAGTGGTTCTGCTGTCCTTGGACTCAAAATACAACTCTTTAGTCTCTAGCCTTCTCACCCATCCCATCAGATTTTGGACTTGCCGAGCCTCTACGATAATGTGAACCAATTTCCTAAAATAAATCTATATATACACATCCTATTGGTTTTATTCCTCTGGAGAACTCTGACGAATACAACAAGGCCCTCCTGACTCTTCAAGTCTGTGTTAGGAGCTCTTCCTATACTTTCTCATAGCATTCTGTGCAGTTCCTAGCATAGATGTCATCGTAGTGATCTTCATAAATGTGTATTAAGTACCTGTTTGCTTGTTGGTATCCCCTACTAAACTTTAAGTATCTTTAGTATAAGGGACATCTCTGTTTTTCTCACCATTATGCCAGCTCCATAATTTTAAAATGGAAGGTATTTACCTTAAATAGAAGCTTCTGTCTTCAGGAGAATTTTGAGAAAGTTTTATTGCATTTATTTACAATTTGGTTGTGTATCATTCTTTGAACATTAAATTCTAATCTGAGTTCCAAACATTCCCCAAGGTGGCCTCGGTAAAGCTGAGATCAAGGGGAAGCCAAGAGTAATAGAGATGTGGTATTGCCCACGGTAATTTACTTTAATTCTATTTCTGAGTCTCTAAATATCCACTCTCAGAACCATGTTGCTTTGACTATTTCCATGTATACTTCTTTTGTTTTTTAAATT